TATGTAGATGTTGACAAATTATGTTTACCAACACAAATTAATCATATATATATATATAAATCAGTGTCGCTAATTTATATAAAAAATGTATTGTAAACAAATTATCATCTATATAAAAACATTTCTTTATTGAGGCATGAATTTTCAAGACTTATACATATATATATATATCGAAAAACAAAACGAAAAAGTACAATTCATTTCACTTTAAATAGATCTAACAAAACAAAACAAAAAGACATGGAACAATATAAACATTTAATCATCACAGTTAAACTGTGCTTCATTGCACATATTAATACAAATTTTCATTTACACTGTATAACAATCATGATTATTTTTTCGATGTGATTTTTTTGAATCTGTTGTACAACAAACTAATGTACTAAGCCATGAACATGAATGAAATTTATCAGATAAAATACGTCGTCCATTACTTAAACTATGACGATATCGTTCTTCATAAAAATTATGAATTTCAATTGCTTGTTCAAATACATTTCTTACATTAAAATTAAGCATTGATGAACATTCTAAATAAACTTTAGCTGAACAAATATGTGCTAAATATTCTCCTTGTGATTGACTTATTGGTCGTTGATTTTTTTCTGCTAATTGATCAACTGTTGATGGATCATTACGTAAATCAAGTTTTGTTCCAACAAGAATAATTGGTACACGAGGTGCATAACCTAAACGAAAAAAATAAAAACAAAATTTCTCAAAAAAAAACTAAATAAATCAACAATCAATAATTACGATTAAGTTCAGGAATCCATTTACTTAATATATTAGAATAGCTATCTGGATCGACAACTGAAAAACAAAGAATAAAAACATCAGTATTCGGATATGCCATTATACGAAGTTGATCATATTCTTCCTAAAAGAATACGTTTAAAAAAAAAAGAATTTTTTTCTCTCGTTTACTTGTCCAGCACTGTCAAATAGATTGAGAATATATTTACGATTATTCAATGTCACTGTCGCTAGAATATTGAAATAATTGAAAAAACATATAATAATTTTTTTTTGTGTGTGTTATTTATTAACCTGCATAATTCTCAAATATAGTTGGTACATAGGGATCTTGTGGATATTCTCCATCTTTATAAACAATACATAATGTTGTCTAAAAGTAATCTTTCTTTTGTGTTCATATTAATTGATGCATTTCTAATCTTACCTTGCCTGTATAACCATCACCTACATGAATACAATCGTAGATTTATGATAAATTATATTCTTTTTTTTTTTTACATAACTTACCGACAACAACAACTTTAATTTCTTCAATCATCGATGCAGCTGTTGCTGATCTATACTTATTCGAGTTTGATTTTGGCATGTACTAAAGCCAAAGAAAAAAAAAAGGAATAAATGAATAATTGTTCATACATCTGACAATATTCTCATGACTCTTTGTACTACAGAACAACCTAATCGATCATTCATATCAAGCAAAAAAAAAAAAAAGAAAAATTTGTATGGTCATTCAATATTTGATAATAATTCTTCTTTTCTTTTCAGCTACACTTACCTGTGAATTTACTGTTAATAAACATTGAAAAGAAATTTGATGGTCGTTTTGTGTGATATATTCAAACAAATATGAGAAGGTATGAACATAAGAAAAAAAAATGAAAGAAAAAACGAACACTTTCTTCTTTCTTGTTACTTTACTGATGACCTGAGGAGAAGAAGGAGGAGACAAGATGAATGAATATAAAACGATTCATTCAAACAAATAAATGCGATCGCTTTTTATTTTATTTTTGTATATATGGTCAGTCAGCGAATCGGAAGGAAAAATTAATAGAGGTCGTTTTTGATATTGACCTTTTCTTTTTGAAGAGAAAGATAATATTTGGATTAAAAAATGTACTCTCTAGGACAATGATTCTTGAAATTTTTATTATAACAATCTTATCGATGATTGCTTGAACGATTGTAAAGACATGAAAGATTTATGAACATTTGTTGTGCTTACCTCAATGTATGCAAATGATGACAATGGATGTATGTTCAAGGTGACAATCTTTATTGATGTTGGCGCTCTACACACACTCACGCTCACTCATACAACGTAAAAAAAAAAAGTCGAAAGAAATAGAAAAGTGAGGAGAACCTTTTTTTTCTTCTTATTCTTCGTCATCATCATTGTACTATATGAGATGTTCGTTCTTTAGACTTCTGTTCTTTTTCTTTTGCCCTTTAAATTTTTTTTTTAAGTATGTTTTAATAATCTACGTCTACAGTATTTCTTTTCTTTTCGTTGTCTTTCGAAATATACTATCATATCATTGATGTTTCTTCATATTCTGTTTCTTCATCACAACAAAGATAGATAAAGATATAATTATCTCGTATGTTATGACGTCTAATAGAGACGAGTCATCATTATTGTTTCATGTATATGAAATATTCGAATACATGAAACAAAGAAATAAATCGATATTCAAAAATATATTCTCATATTCATTCAATATGAAATAATAATTCAGTTACATAATATATATATAATTGACGTTCATTAAAAGAAGAAAAAAAAGAACTTGTATCAATAGACGATTATGATAAAATATTATTGTAATGATTAAATAATGAAATTAATTGAATTTTTTTTTTTTGTTAGGTCAAATTGTTCTAATGTCTTTCTTTATTAAAAATATTCTCGATTAAATCAATAAGTTAATTGAATTAAACATAATAAAAAAAGACAATCTGATCCAACAATAGAATAAAGATCTC